GGGCTTGGTGTGGGGCACCGTGAGCTGAAAGTAAAGTGCTGGAGGTTTTTTTCCATGTCTGTAAGCAGATGGCTTCATTGGTGAGTGGTGGGAGCAAGTGATGAATAATGCTGCTGCCCACACAGTCCTCTGAGATGGCCAGGCGATGCAGACCCCGCTTTCACTAAGGCATGGCCCCCACAGTTTTCCTCAGTTCCTAGCATAGGCAGGGCTGGAGTGAGTGGAGAAATGAGGCATGGCCTCCAAGACAGGCACCAGCAGCACTGGGGAGGGACGGGGCTGTGGGTCAGAAGTGCAGGGCACCAGCCAGGCACAGAGGGATGCAGGGGGCTGCTGGTTGGGAGTGAGGGGCACTGGTAGAGCCCAGGGGGCTGTCGCTTGGGAGTGAGGGGCAATGGCATGGCCAGGGGCAGGGCACCAGCATATTAGGGCTGCTCAGCAACCACAAAGCAGTGGAGGGGACAGCCGCAGCTGGACCTGTGTCCTAGTGAGCAAAGGAAGCACAGGGAGCTCTGGTTTCTCATGATAAAACACCAAAACCAAATGCCAAAATATATAGGTATTTAGAATTTATTTTATTATAATGATTGAGGCAATGGTAGGCTTCCAAATTGCCTTAAAATTGCAAATATATCAATAAAACATTGTATTCCACTGATACCTATATAGTGACATTTCATTTTAAATCACAGAAAAATGCAGATTTCGTTTTTGTTTTTGTTAAGTCAGAGAGTTGGCGATTTTTAAAGAGAAAAAAAACCCAGGATCCCTGTAATCAGCATGTCCTGGTAAAAAATCAAGCTTAGTCAGAAAATCTCTAAGAGCTTAGTCAGGAGGTAAGGTTCAACCTGTTGCAATTTGGCAGGAGCCCAGTGCAAGCATTTGTCCCATAGGGCAGAGGTTCCCAATCACCGGGCCACAGCCCAGTAACAGGCTGCAAGGGGTTGGCAGCTGGGTCATGGCATGAGCCACCAGCTCAGACCCCGGTCTGTCCACCCGGGCAAGCGGCTTCCAAGGCCTGAAAATCAGAATTAGGGAATTCCATTTCCCTAATAAACCAGAATTAAAAGTGGACTTGGGAAAGTCATCCCTAAAGAAAGGGAGGGGTAGGAGATTGGGTCTCCTACTGTCTGATACACAAAGGAAACAATCTTCTACCCCTAATCCTTTAGTCCTGAGTTAAAGCTAGGACAGCATGGTCCGGGTAATGGGCTTTTACGGGATTGACAAAAGTGCTCTGCCAGGTAGAAACAATTAAGGAAGAATCAAGAAAATGGAGTTATTGCTGTTAGTTCTCAGCAATAATGTTAGGCTAACTAAACCACACTTATTCTGGACTTTTTCTCATGTGTCCAGGACTATGAATCAGAACCTTTTTAAAAGACATTAAAGTCGCATTACAGCCTAACAACACTGGTCAAATTGGACAAGACTCATTTAATGCATGAAGTTGTTAAGTAAGTGCCATTCTTTACAAGAGTGTGGTTTTCTTGGAACAGATGCCATCTTCTGAGTAGCTCACAGAGTAAAGGCACTAGACATAACAACATTAATATACAGCCAAGCAGACCAATATGTGGTGTGCAGTCAGAGTAGGTGAAAACACAGCACACCAGGAGAAAAAGCTCACAAACTGAGAGAAAGCTTGATATATGCACCTATGCAGGCAGGGATGGTTACTCAGCTGTAACAGATTCCACTCCTTACAATCGTTAATAGTTTGAGAAGATTTTGAAATAGAGGGATCACATTTTAAAGATGAAAACAGAGCACTGACATCACTGGACTCATCAAGGAACCGGCAGATGGAATTGCAGAGCCATTGGCTACTGTCTTTGAGATCTCAGGTAAGGTGCCCAGAAGACTGGAAAAGGACAAATAATTTTCATCCTTAAAGAAGGAAAAAGAAGGACTCAGGGAATTACAGACTGGTCAGTATAACTCCAGTACCTAGAAAGACATGAACAAGTTATCAAAAAATCTATTTCTAAGCTCCTAAAGTATAAGAAGATGATAAGGAATACCCAACACAGATTTGCCAGTCATGCAACATGTTTTGTGAATAAAGGAAGACCAGTGAATGTGATATACCTTGACTTTAGCAAGGCTTTTGATGTTCTCCCACAACATTCGCATAATGAAGCTGAAGTAATATGGTCTACATCAGTGATGGTAACCTTTTTGGCAGGAGTGCCACAAGTTAAGCCCCACTATCTCCCCAGATGCTACTCTAATCCCATCCCCTGCCAAGTGATAACCTGATAGAGTTTGCACCCTGGGGTACTGGAGCAGAGGCAAGGCATATTAGACTCTTCAGCTATGGGGAGCAGAGCAGGGATGGGATGCTGCTGTGATAGAAGGTGTCACCTCCAAGAGTTACATCAGGCCGATTTCCGATACAGGCAATTCTCTTTATATTGTTGCCAATCCAATATCGGACTGATGTATTGGTGCACCTCTAGTCTGAAGTAAATAAAAATTCAATAAAAAGTTCAACAAGGACAAGCATAAAGTCCTATACTTAGGAAAGGACAGTTAATGCACACAAAAGGGGAAGCAACTGGCTAGGCTGCAGTAATGCAGAAAGGGATGTGAGGTGTATAAGCCAGGCTGAATCCGAACCAACAGTATAACATCATTGCAAAAAAATAAAAGAAAACCCAAACCTAATAGGGTAATAAGATGCATTAAACAGGAGTATTTTCTTCAAGTCACAGAGAGCAATTCTTCCACTCTGTTCAGCATAGCAAAGCCTCACCTAATATCTTGTGTCCAGTTTGGGGACAGTCCTTAAACACAAAAATTGGTGTTATAAAAAGGATGGTTATCAGCTGCTCTCTGTGTCCACAAGGCACAGAACAAGAAGTAAAGGCTGAAATTGCAACAGGGAAGATTTAGGTTGGATATTAGACCTTTACAGTGATGGAAGTGGTTAATTTGTATGGCCAGAACTGATAAATTGCCGTGACTAACTCACTCCACATGTGAATATTATTAAACAAAAGGGTTTTCCCCAAGCATCGTTTTCCTCTGTACTCTAATTATGTAGCTTGCTGCATGTTTTGACTGCCAATATTTGAAATTCAAGCATTGTTGGCTATTTGGCTAAGTCAGTCACCGTATTCGTCTTTTCTCCCCACTAGGAAAGTCATTTATCAAGAGAAAACCGTGAAGTCCCAAGGACTTAAAACCTCTTAGGGAGAAGCACCTCTGAGCAGGACAAAAGACTGAATAACAGATCTGTATGGAGTCAATAAAATAACTCTATGTATATTTGTTTCTCTTTGAACCTTTGACTTGCTGCTGTGTCAAACCAGAGAAATAACAGACTTAAATGTGCAATATGAAACTTGGAAGGGGGGCAAGGGTAAGTTTTGGAACACAGCCAAATATAATCAATTATTTTATAAAAGAGATACCCACATGTAGGTAACACGGGAGCAGGAACTGCTCTAGGATCATTGTTGCCCGGCCTCCCGAGACAGCAGGAACAGAACTTGGATCTCTGTGTTGGAATTGATGCATATTTGCAAACTGTTTTGCAACGATGTTATACTGTTGGTTCGGATTCAGCCTGGCTTATACACCTCACATCCCTTTCTGCATTACTGTAGCCTAGCCAGTTGCTTCCCCTTTTGTGTGCGTTAACTGTCCTTTCCTAAGTATAGGACTTTATACTTGTCCTTGTTGAACTTTTTATTGAATTTTTATTTACTTCAGACTAGAGGTGCACCAATACATCAGTTACTATACCTTTATTGCCAGGACCTACAAAGTTAACATTTGTAGATGAGGGAACAACTGAACTCCTACCACTAGCAATTGCTTGCAATTATTTTGTAAGAAACAGGGCTAGGAATTGACTTATTAAACGAAACCCAAATGTCAGTCTTCACATTCTTAAGTTCCGTCAGTTCAGAGGAACCTATGGCATGGTCTGGAAGGCTTGCTTTGCCAGGCAGTATAAAGTTCACGGGCATTAAAGTTTTAAGATACAATTTAATCTTAGTGATAAGCATTCTTTTATCTTGGATACTTTAGATTTCCCTGTGGAAAAGCATGAGAAAGTAAGTTGCCTCTAAGAAAGGGGTATTTTAAAAGTGCCACAAAATTGGTTAGGTTATGTCCATCTTAGCATTTTATTTTATTAAAAACAAACTTTTGCTAAATAGTACTTTGGGACAGAGGCTCTGTGTATCCAGGTGCCCCTGAAGTGCCATTTAATGAGTAGTTTGGATTTGAATGGCTTTACACATGCTGCAAGAGTAGACTGTAATCACCCTACTGTAGTGTAAAATTATCCCCTGGAAAGCCAAAAGTAACTATCCTCTAGTGCAAACTACAGTGATATGCAAGTAATGAATGCAGTCTATTACTAGCTCCCGCATCACACAGAGGCAAGGTAGTACAGTAGTACCTAGAGCAGGTAGCTGCTTGTTATTTCTGGACACCAGCATAATTTACAGTGATCTACAAACAACAGAAATTACTATTAATGTGTCATGTGTGTGCAACACAAGTTACTATACCTTTATTGCCAGGACCTACAAAGTTAACATTTGTAGATGAGGGAACAACTGAACTCCTACCATAGCTACCAGTGAAAGATGCAGTATAGTTCCACCAACCTGAGAGAGAGAATAACAGCCCATTCTTGAAAGCAGCGGGTGTTTTGCCTGAATAAGTGGTGCAGGATTAGACTCTACATTGATTGCACATTATGACTGCACTAGTTAGAAAAAGAGAACAGATGTCAACTAAATGGGGAAGTGTGGGACAAAATAGAAATAATCGTAAAAATGTGCCCAAGGATAAAATAAATTGATCCTAAGACCCTAACAAACATTCTTGGATCAGGCAAAATGATGAGAGTCATTGTACTAGTTTGGCTTTTATTTTCTTGCTAATATTGCATAACAGAACTACACTAGCATGAGGAGGAGGAGGGGGGAATAATAAAAATAAGTTATCAATGCACTATTAACTCTACATGCTCTTACCTATTAATAAGATATTGATGTCTCCTCTAATGCGTGTCCCATTGTCGAGAACTTTCTCATTACCTCCAAGTAGCATACACAAAATGGCTTTTTTAATATACGCATGGCCATGAATGCTTGGTGCTAAAGACTTGCTTAAATGGTCAAAGATATCCTATTTAAGAAACAGGAAACACTTACATTGCAGATTATCAACATTAGAATAGAATCTCATTATCCATTAGCCAGTATTAGTGCAATTTATAACTTACTTTAGCTTGAGCTTTACAGAATTTCTTGATCTTTGTCACACCATCAGCTGAGAATGTAGGTGCTATTTCTTTGCTCATCAGTTTGGTATTATTAGCCAGCATTATTGTCCTGGATATTTTTCCCCCAGATGCAGAGAAATGGCATGAGATTAACTATTAAATAAATTAACTATTACATACATACTGGAATAAAAGCTATCGTCTTCACAACACAAAGAGCTACTTGCTAAAAAAGGAGAAAGTAGAATCAAATTCAAAGAGATTATTAGATTTATCCTTTCCATTATGCCCTAATGAGGGAAATCCTCATTGGGGAAGGATTTAATGAATTCTTAATATCAGGATTAAAAAGAACTTGAATAATAGTGTAGTGAATAATACTCCAATTCATGCTTCTTGTGCTGCACGTTACCTAATCAGAGAATGGATTTTTGAGCTATAAGATTTCTAATTTTAGGGAAATAAAAGAGTGACTGTTTGCCTGCTTTTATAAAGGTTTGCGCTGTGTCATGTATAGGTGACCAGGCAACTACTTTTAGCCACAATGAAAATCAAAGGAGGACATAAATTGCATTTTGGGGTCATTAAAAATGGGAAAAAGGAGCACACCTTGATTTGCAGTCTCCTAGGTTATGCATCTATTGCTGGTTCTCTTTATACTACAAAGTGCAAATTGATACTTCTGAGGAAAGTGTTTGTAAGAAAGTTATTGCATTAAAATGAGAAATTTAATGAGAAAATGCTTCAAAATACATCATCAATTAGAAGTTACCTAAAGAAAAAAAATTAATGATGCCAATAATCTGTATGTGAAGAGCAACTGAACTACAAAGATATCTCCAGAATTTTTTAAGAGAAAAATATCATTTTGTGTCACATGGCAAACTACCAAGGTGAATTAACCTAAATTTCCTAAATATGTTGGATGAAAAAACATAGAGATATAGGTCTGAAAAAGTCCTCTGGGGTCACTGATAACCTGTTACAGGTACCCAGGAAATACAATATCATTCACAAATTGATCAAGCTACATTTCAAAACTAGCTAGGTTTTTGCCCCACTTTTGCTATTGGACATTTCATAAGTTTGGTGACTTCATCTACATAATAACAACTCAGATGCTCACCCCAATATGAAAGTCTATTGCCATCATCTGAAGCTGAAACTTTCTTTGTTGTATGGGTAGACAGTGTTATTTAGCTACTACCTGAGTGCTCTCTCAAGATTTACGTTTGTCTAACCAAATTAACACCTACAACAAGATCCAAAAGCAAGGAAGCCAACCAGCTAGTCTTTTCAGGTACCTCCTGGTTGCTGAAAATCTGCCAACCCCTGTAGATGGACAGCCCATACCATAAAGAGAGGCACTATATATGGAAATATGTATACAGGGGCTGCAACCCTTGTTTATACTGCTCTGAACTGGTATTTCTGTCCCTGCCACAAGCGCCCAAGCCACCTACACTTACCCTTATCACCGATCCCTGTCTTTAACAGCAGTGGAGAAGACAAATTCTGTGGTGAGAGCAAGTGCAGGTGTGAGACAGCAGCAGAGAGGGCTGTGGAGGGGCTGGGTGGCTCAGTGCAACTGTGCGCCTCCCAGCCCCCATTCTGTCCCATCCCAAATCAGACTCTCACTGACTGGAACCAATCTCTTCCCAAGCCAGATATGGCCCATGGGCCATAGGTTGCTGAGCCCTGTTGTATAAGGTTGTGATACCAATAATATGACATAATTAATTTGAATGAAACATGTTTTTTGTGTCATGTTGTGGGTTCAGGTCACTTGAGTCAAGAGCCACCTTAATAAAGAGGTTTCTTTATTTATGCCAACAGCAACCAGACAGCCACGAGACTCCTCTTTTGGCTCCCTCTCAGACTTTGGCCATCTTGAGATATGTGCAATAGTCATACCCTGGAGGGGAGTTGAGTAACAGTCTAACCCTTAAAGCTAGGGACAGAAGTTGGATATAAAACAGTTTTAAGTGATCCAAAGCTGGTTTAAACCTGTAACAGAACAGAAATTAAGTGCATACAAACCACTTTCAAAGTGGCTGAAACCAGTTTAAAATTAACCTGGTTGGATGTACCATCAGACTTAACTGTTTTAAGTTAAATCAGTTTATGGAACTTCTGTCCCAGATACCTTCCTGATTCAAGTTAAGTCACAGTCCTCCAGTATCCTACAATGTTTTACAGCCCTGGGCTTGCTGTCTGCTCCAGTGGAGAAGGGCTGCTCTCTGCCCCAGCTATCACAGAGCTGAGACACTAAAGCCTCTGCTCCCTGACAGCACCTGTCAGTTCAGTGGGGGCAAGTGAACAGGCTCCCAGAGCTCTCTAGCCTCCATCTGTACAGTCAAGGGGAAAGAAAGCCCCTGAAATGTGGGCTTTTTGCCCCTGCAGCAGCCAGGCAAGCAGAGTTGGCTTTGGCTCAGCCCCACCCTCTTCCCAGCCCCCAGCCTGTTAGAGAGGGGGTGCAGAGAGGGGTGGGGGAATGAACTGGCCTAGCCCTGACCCCCCAGCTGGGGTCTGTCCAGTGCAGGAGGAAAGCCCCCACTGGGAGCTTTTTGCTTCTCTGAAGCCAGGTGAGCTGGGCTGGGATTGGTTCAGTCCTGCTCCCTCCCCAATCCCTGCTGCCTGTGAAAGGGAGGGAAGGGGACAGACAGGACTGGCACAGCCAGGGTCTGCCCAGCGTGGAGGGGGAAGAAGTCCCTACTGGGGGCTTTTCACTCCTCTGCAATCCAGCTCACCAGGACAGGATCAGTTCAGCCCTCCTCCCTCCTCAGCCCCGGCCTGTGGGAGGCAGGGGCTGGGGGGAGGGGCAAATGCACCATCCCACCTTGGTGCTAACCCGCCCCCCAGCTGGGGTATGCCTGGTGCATGGTGGGAAAAGCTCCCACCAGAGGTTTTTCAGTCCCCTCACAGCCTGGCTTCCCCAGCTGGCATGGGCTCAGCTCCACCCTCTCCCCAGCCCCACCCCCCACCTGTGTACATTCACTCCCATCTCTCGCAGGCTGGGGCTGGGGAGGGGCTGGGGTTTAACTGATCCCATCCTGGTGAGCTGGGCTGTGTGGGAGCTAAAACCCCCAGTAAAGTCTTTTGCCCACACCAGGTAGACCCCAGCTAGGGGGCCCAGATGTGTGCTTTCCCCAACAGGTGTGTGCATTCTGAGCCAATCAGAGCCCTGCTAGCCAGCTGGGTGGGGGGAGGAGAAGCCCAAGCCCCATGGTGGGGACTTTTCCCACTCCATGCAGGCCCCAGCAGGGGGGCCAGGGCTGGGTGGTGCCTTCCCCCTCCCCGGAGGCAGGGGCTGAAGAGAGATTTTCTGCTGGCTCTCCCCAGCAGTGGGTGGGGGAGGGGGAAGAGGAGGGGAGGGGAAGTGGCATGTGTCCAGCAGCCAATCAGGCCTGGGCTACCTCTGGACTGGGTTTAGCATCCTTTTAGGCAGCTGGCCATGAGTGCCCCCAGGGTCCTGGCCTGGGCCAATGCAGGCTTCTGCCCATCTTGGCCACACAAACACTGAATGTCAGTTCAGTTTGTCACTGGTTCAAGCTACGCACCTTAAATTAACCTGCAAAGATTGAATTGATTCTTCCTCGGGCTTTTTGAACCTCTGTACTTAGCCTAATGGTATATAAGCCTCATATATGGTCTATACTACATTGAAAGGAAAACCTTGGAAGTTGTAAAATTGGTAAATTTTCTGCCTTTTGGGAGCTAAGCAGTAATGAACACTCCTTTTAGCTTCAGGTTTCACCAAAAGCTCCAGTTACTAAAGTCACACATGGACCTTGTTTTAGTGTAAAACAAGCAAGGTGAAAACAGCAATAGAAGATAAAACCCTTTAAATCATGCCTAAAGAAATAATTTCTTTTAAACTTATGTTAATAAAAATTCCTTTGTAGTTTACACACCCAACATCTCAGCCTAACATTAAAAATATCTCAAATCATTTTTTAAATCTCAATTTCAATTTAAAATAGTTTGGATGGCAGTGCTCAACCCCCAGCATGATGGCCAAATGTGGCCCACAACACCGTGGAATCTGGCCTGTAGGACTCCCCAGAGGTCAGGAAATTTGGCAGCAGGGAAGAATTGGCCATTAATACTGCCACCCCTCTCCACTGCCAAAATCCCAAGCAGCAGGTCAGAGCCGGGCCACAAGCCTCTCCTTCCTCTCCACCACCTTACCTGGTTGGAGCCAGGCCACACCTTTTCCCCATGCAGTGGATTGAACCAAGCTGCCCCACTGCTCTCCTCCACATGGCCAGATGGGGCCCTGCAGCACCCACCCTGGGTACCAGATTGGGTCCACTGGGAGGATTTGGCCTGTGGAGGAACAAGGCACTGCCCATCTGGGCCTACTGGCCAAAAAGGCTGAACTAGTTTAGGAGACCTACGGTCAACAAAAAAACATTTTGCTCTGATTTTGGGAGAATTTTTATGACTGCTTTCATCCATAACCCCCATAAAAGTGTGAACTGAACTACTAAATATTCTGTGATTAATCTTTTTGGTATTATAAAACATTTTTTTTCTCCCTGGAACACTGTACCACTTTACCATCCAGGAGAAAGATTGGGGGAAGAAAGCAATGCAACTACTATGGTTATAGCAGCATAGTGGTACAAGTTGAAAGATAATATTATTAAATAAGTTATTGAAATAAGAAATAAGGTTACATTAAGCTACATGTGTATATGAGATCATCCTACTCATCTATCATATTCTTTTTTTTACTCAAGTCATAGATTTCATAGATTTTTAGGGTCAGAAGGAACCTCAGTAGATCATTGAGTCTGACCCCCTGCTCAGGGCAGGAAAGAGCACTGGGGTCAGATGATCCCAGCCAGGTCTCCTCTTAAAGACCTCCAAGGTAGGGGA